GTTATTCTATCGACGACTACTGTTTCAATTAAAACTGATAACTACTACAAAACAATTAGATATAAAAACGATATTATCCGATTTGTAATCAAACGAGTAGACGGCAATATCTCTCTAAATCTTTCTTGAATTTTCCGTTGCCTAAAGGAGTTAGGCTACCAAAACTTTCTCGTCAAAGTTTAGAAAGGCTATTTTTGAAGTCAATTAGGGAAACAGTCGTTCTTCAGTTGTATTGTTTGTCGGCAAAAAAATTAAGAAGTAAATACTTAATAAGTATCAACTTATTTCTTCCAAAACTTTTCATATAACTTTACAAGAAGCAATTATTCTGTCTGGTTATAAAAACATTGAAATAACAAATACATTTATTATCTTTTATATTTTAGTAAAACTTGAAATTATACTTAATGAAGAGAATAATTAAAAACGTGAATGAACGTATTTTTATATTTTCACGTGGAAATGAAAAGTTTACGGAAAGAAAAAAGTATCTAGTAACTTGCTTAATGGAAAACTTCTTACAGTTCGATATCTTAAACTTACAATTAGACAATCTAACAGTGGAGAGCTCGTTGGTAGTCTTGATCTAACCGACAGGTTTTCGCAGGACGAGGACCATTTTTATTGCGATTATTACTTCTAATACAGTAGAATTCGTTTATTGTGACTCCGCCGATATTGACCAACCGCATAATATGAAGTAATTGCGGTGTTAAGTTTGGTTTTCATATTAAATTCTGTATAGGAATGTTTGGATATAATGACTCCGTTTAAAATGACATATCGTTTATTACGACTGATTCTTAAGAAATCGGATCCTGCTATAGTGACCCAAATGATTAATAATACCATTTTCGTTCATTTTTCTGACCCTTCTTACGTATATTGATATTACAATTCATCGTTCTTTTTCTTTTTCTGTTAACAAATATACACAATTTGTAGTTTTTCACTCTATTAAACTAAATAACTAATCAAAATAGAAAGTAGTTTATTTTCTAAGACTATGCTTTGTATGACGCCCGCTTAGCATGTCATTATGAGCAGATTCTACTGAAAAATAATAGTCAGGACTACTCGACATCTACATATAACTTCAATTTTTGTTATAGATCACGATTTTGAGCAAATCATTATTTTCATAGTTCGATTAGATGAAAAATATACGTCTGCCTATTTCAGATGAATTAAACATAGCATGTGCCCAATAGGAACGTAAAAACCGTCTCGACGGCATATCTGACGATGATATCGCGCACTCTGTATTAAAAATTCTAATCTGGAGCTGCGGCCGTTATAAGAGTAGGAGTTTTGCAAATTAGATAGCGACGGATTTGCATGAAAGCCGAAAGCTGAGAGCCCGTAAATTGTTTACTTCATGCTTCCCCAAGCAATTACGTTTCACAATATGATTATAATTGTCCGCAATTACATCGTAAAATGCCAGAGAAACCGTGAAAAGCGATTGCTAAAACGCATTTGTAACAAAAGGAAAAGAAAATACACAAAAAGGAACGAAACGGTATTATCTAACAAAGCATCAGAATCGAATGCTTGTACAATTAGTGTTTACTAGATTTCACTCGCGTTGATGTCCTAAATATGTGTCACAGATCATGGACGATCACATAAAACTATTTTGCTATCCCTCGAGAACAGTATTTTTTCTGAATAAAAGGTACCCCATGTCATTTTCTTTACACCATTATAAAATTTCATGATGATCGGTTGAGTTATTAAGACGTAAAATGGTAGCAAACAAACCCACAATTACATTTACAATATTAGTTAGGATTACATTTAAAGTAGCAAATAATGATTGACAAACGCAATCCCTAATGTTTTACGGTTTGTATCTCTCACTTTCTTTTTTAAATTCAAGGAATATCATATATTGAGCAGATTTAGTGTGTCAGTATATAAATAACATAATAAATGTTTTTTCAGATTATTATATTATAAAAGACAGGAATTATCCAAAGAAATTAATTGCGAAAAAGAATAAGTAGGGTTGGATTTTCCCTTAATGCCACCCTAGGCACCGTAAAAAATTCCACCCCATTATCCATATATTGTACACAAAATGGCTATAAAAACCTAATTGTTCAAATTTTAAAAGTGATTGATTTCAGACCGATGTAAATGTCATCAAAATCAGTTGACCGAAGTTTCGAAGTTTATTTTCTTTGAAACGACATTCGAATTCGTGGTGGAATCGAAATTTGGTACTTAGTTATCTATTTATGCTTTACAAACGTTAACAAGGTGGATCATACCTTAGTCGGTTGATTCAATTCAAAATATATCTCCACCTAAATGTTAAAAACAAGTAATTTAAAACAATTATCGGATTTTTAGGCTATAAGAGCTCAATTACTTTTAAAGGCGTATGTTTTCGAGCGATTGGAGTTCGAAAATAACGAAAAATTTGAGGGACGGTCTGCAACTGTTTTTTAGATTTTTCTTTTAAATTAATGATATTCTTACATTTTTTTATATAAATACATATATAAATTTATTGTTTTTATCTTTTTTTTAAGAATTTTTGATAACGCAAAAAAAGTTTTCCTCAAGTCCCGCAATTTGCCGCCGTTGGAAATTTGCCGCCTTAGGCATTAACCCCTACTGCCCCTACTGTAAATCCAGCGCTGAGAATAAAAAGATATATTCAGCAAACCTGTTATCAAAAATGTTGAAAAAAATGTGATGAATTATGAGACACCTACCTACTAGTATTTCTGTGAAAGGTCTAAAATAAGCTATTCATAGCTAACTGCCCCTGTATTCACAAACATTTAATCGAATCAAGAGCTCATCTAACGCCTTTAAGATGAAGACTGCTATTCCTTATTTTACTTAAATGATAACATTTTCGTTCCTTGTTCCGCTTTTCTTCTCCCCTTTAACTAACGACACGTGAGTTGCAAATTGCCAGACAAGGCCCTTCTGCCACGTTCCACTGAAAACATTCTCCATTCCTATTTCTACCGACGACTTATTTTTAATTAGTCTACATTTAAAACAAGAACCGCGACAGGAATAAGAACTTCGGATCGCCATTGTTCCTTAAATTTAATTTCCGCGACTTTAATAATATTATTTTTGACAGGAACAACCTTTGGAAACGACCAAGTTAGACACGCATTCATTATTATTTAGCTTGAGTACCTACTTTCTTTAGTTAGATACATCTACCCTAAACTGTTTCAAGCTAGACTTGAGATTCAATAAGGATAATTAAGAAAATGGTAAGAGAATCAAGCAAATTCAGGATTAAAAAGTCTCAATCAAACCCTAGTTCGCTTTACTGTCTTGTAATGTGCGGCTAGATTATAAGATGTGCAAAATGGTTTTTTAAAAGTGTTTAAATACAAAATGCAAATACTTTTTTGATTTGTTGTTGCAAATGTAAAATACGAAATAGATTTCCCATTTGTATTTTAAATGCTAAATGCAAAATACTTTTTTGTAGTACCTATGTAATTTTAACTACATTAACTTAAGTTTAACTTTAAAATATTGGAGTTTCTCTAAACTAATAGTGGTGTTTGCACTTAATCACCAGCTGCGAAGATTGAGTATGATTTATATTTTTCTGTTTGAAGTGATTGAGATATAGTTTTTCTATCTTTATGTTATAGTTTCTTCAATTCAGCAACAAATAATTCTT